TTTGCACACCAAACTCTCCTACCCCCACAGCTTGAAGAGGAAGCATGGCTTCTCCTTTCACTGGAGGATAAGACCTAGAAGCCTTTTCCTTTGATGCCTGTGGATAAGGGGGGCAGGGCTCCTCCGGATAAGATAAGCAGGGACTAGGTCCCTGTGGAGGAGGGGCTGATGGAATCCCTTCAGGTGATTCCTTCAGTGAAGGAGGATCTTTATTCACTTGCAAATTACCTTCTTCCTTTGAGTCAGAAATGGCCAACTCCCCAGTTGTCTGAATTAGGTTTTTTTCTATTCTGCCATTCTTAAGATGATCCCGAAGATGGAGAAACATTCGAATATATGAAATTTCTACCCACCTTCCCCAACGTCTACAATAATTGTCCAGTTCTGAAATAGTATGGTAATTAAGACTCCCTGTGGGAGGCCAAGTTTCACCATTAGCAAGAGAGTATTTGGGCCAAGCCTTCATGCAGAAAAAGATCAAGTCCTTTTTGCTCACGATCCGGGAACCAAATATGTCCCAATGTTTAAGGATACAACCAAGAGGAGTTCGGGAGTCCACTCGCGAATGTTGAGATCCCATCTGAGCAATAAAGAGACAATGAACAGGCTAGAGAGAGACTTGCCCCCCTTCTCCCTTGTCTAGCCTATGCCCAAAGTGTATGTCAGAGCTGGGGGCAAGTCCAGTCTGACCCCGTGCGCAGTCATTACAGGAGTGGTCCTGCTGTCTGCCGGGACAGGATCCACGAGCTTGGGGACTACCACTATTACCCCTGCCTCGCCCCACCTGTCCGTGATCATGATCATTGTCCCATACCTTGTGCGCGGTCATTACAGGAGTGGTCCTGCTGTCCGCCGGGACAGGATCCACGAGCTTGGGGACTACCACTATTACCCCTGCCTCGCCCCACCTGTCCGTGACTATCTCAACCCCCTGTGGAGGCTCCGGAACCTTTGGTAACCACTTCTCCATGGTGATCCTTTTCCTGAAAATCTAAAGTAGCCCTATAGCCTAAAGGAACATAACTGCTAATGCTTATTGGTTGAACTTTCTCCTTGGCCTGATCAAAACAAAAGCCCATAGAAATGTGCACGATCTCAAAATGGCTGAAAGTTGGCAAGGCATGGAGCTGGCCTTAAAATAGGCTTGTCCCAAAACAAACTGGGAAATGAAAAGCAAACTGGAAAACAGCAAGGGCAAGTTTCTCAAATTGCCTTGGGCTAGCTGATTTGGAAGTTTCCCCAATCCCAAATGGTGGCTGTTAAGAATCACAATAGGAATGCAAATAGAACTTTGGTCCTAAATTCCTGAATGAGCATACTCCAAGACTGCCCCTCCCCTTTTCTATGGCTGGTTCTGGCTTCAAAGGTGATCAGGTTTCTACCTGGCTGCAGGTTCCCTGAATTCCTCAAAGACTCCCTGTGGCTATCGGAGCTTCAAGGGAAAAGTCTCCTAACAGCGCAGCTCCAAAAGCGCTCTCCCATTCTAAGGCTGTTTGGATTTCAGAGGCAGGAAGCTGCTTGGGTGATAGACCGGAGATGGGAGACAGAACAAAGGGACTGGCCTTTTCTCAACTCATCTGGGGAGTGTAGAGGGGGTCGTCCAAAGCTCCGCACGAGTCACTTTAAGGGATCAACCCAAGCCGCACACTCGTGGGGGTGGCCCGGAGTCTCACCCCTCCTCCACCGAGGAGAGACCAGCCCGAAACGTGGCTGGGAGCTTGGCACTAGGGTACCCATTCGGGCGGTCGGCGTTCAGAATCCACCTGGGGAGTTTCTAGTCACGCAGAAGTGTCGCCTCTGCCAGAGACTGTCAGTCCTCCTCCAGATTTCCTCCGAACACACGCACCCACGGCCTTGCTCCCGAAAGGAGAATGAAGGTGATAGGAAAGGGCGAAGAGGTGGTCAGAGATTAGGCCTCTGGAAGCCTAAACAGCCGTCCTTCCTTACACCACCCCCCTAATTATACAATCCCTCTGGAGGTTCGACCATAGCTAGACCGTGGCCGGGGGTCCTCCGTGTTCATGCAGAGCCATGGGGTGCCAAGGGTCACTTCCACGGGTGCAGTCCCACTTGAGGGAAGGCATACAGACCTTGTGAAGTCTTCTCTCAGTTGAGCTGGGCCACGTGGCTCCCGTCTAGTCTCTTTTTTCGAGCCCCACGTTGGGCGCCAGGGAAAATATGTTACCAGAAATGCCCGGTGGGTTCTTTCCTCAGCTTAGTATAGAAATAAAAAGCCGGGAATCTGTTGCAAACAGAAAAGTTTATTTGTGAAGGGACCAGGGAGCAGGGAAGGGAAGGAAGGGGAAGCACCTCCGGAAAAGAAGCCGGGAGGTGGGGTGCTCTCGAAAGAGGAGGGAGAGAGAGACACCAAAGGTTTGAGGAAGGGTCTAGGGGTTTTAAGCCTTCCTTGACCCCTCCTTGTTGGGCGGGGAACCTATAGGTGAGATGTTCCCCATTGGTGATCTCTTGATTAATTAGGAAATGGGTGGACAATGCTGGTACCGCCCACCTGAAGGTGTGGCCAAGACCTCAGAGGACCTGGATGGTCTCAAGTAAAATATATTTAACAAGTATGGTTAAAATCAAGTGATAGTAAAACAGTGAGGATACGAGAAAAGTTAGAAAAACAAGAATTCATGTCACAGGTCATCTCCAGTTTGGTCATACCTGTCTAAAAGCCTCCTGCAGGGGAGGAAAATTGTGTTTCTCTGTCCTAAGGGTTCCTGAAACAAGAGCATAACTATAGGAAAGTAAATGACTTACAAGTCTGATTCAGAGCAGCATCCAATAAGATCCAGTAGACATTTCAAAATTGACACATGGAAAAGGCCACGAATATCTCTGCTCAGCAAAGTGTGGAAAGGAAGAGGAGCAGCAACCAGGTGAGGACTGGATGAAACAGGCCGTTCTGACGCCCCTCGGGCCTCTGTTTTTCCTGTTGTTCCTGATGTTACACAAACAGAAGAAGTTCGGGGAGAGCTTCTTGTGTCTGCCTCTCAAATGTCCACAAGGAATTTTGAAACAAACAGCTGTATTTTGGGCTAGCATGTTCTGGCCTGCTTCTTCAGAAAACTTCTGTCTCTGGCTAAAAAGCATCACTCTCTTGAAGGGGACGCCAAGCATCTCCCTTATCCATGGCTCCTTGAGCAAGTGTGTGTCTCCCTCAACATGGGACAGCCCAAGTTCTTAAGTGTAAACCTGGTTGTTGCACATTTTGACTTGGAAAGACATCACAATCTCTCAAGCCCAAAGACTAAAAACTATATTTCTCTCTCTCACTTGAGCAACTTAGCCCTTGCTTCAGAGGAATCAGCTGACAGCAGGAGATGTTAGTCAATGTGTGTGGTTAACAAGCTCGGCACCCAATCAGCATGGAGATGTGGGCTCAGAACACACAAGGTGTTCTCTGCAGCAGAAAATGGAGACCAATGAAGAGACTGGCCTGATCACATCACGGGGCCTTCCAGGGTCCTCCAGCCAGGACTGCCCACCCTCAGTCCCTCAATGTCACCCAGGGCCACTTAGCACTTCTCCTAACTCTACACTTCCTTTCTGACCTCAGAGCGCATTCAAGCCAGAAAGCTGAATGGGTAAAGGAGACACTGCTGTCTCCCCTCTGGAAAGTAATTTGCTTTTTAAGATCTTATTTGAAAGGCTGATTAAAAAAAAAAAAAATAGGAGAGACAAAGAGATCATCTTTTCAAATAAAACTACAAATATGTAAAAAAAATAATAATAATAAACTAGGCTGACTCCTGAGTAAGAATGTCGGGCAAGTTTCCTTTGTAATGGCCTGAGTAGGAGGGAAGTCTTACACAGACAGGCCACCAAACACTGCCATAGAAAGGCTTGAAGTTAGGATGGGACGCTAATACAGCGTGGGAGTCCAGGGCTGCAAGCAAGCCAGGCTAACTCCATCTGCCTCCATCTCATAGCTCCCTGTAAGCACATGTGATGAACACAACAGGATGCAAGTACTGTGGTGACAGTATTTGCCAAGGGACGAGGAAGTCAGGATTGGGCACGGACTCAAAGAAAACTCGTGGAGAACCAATAGTTAATGTGCAAACAAGACATCTGCTCTTTGGGGATCACATACGTATCACTCCTAGACTGGGAATTTCAACTGTTCAAGGTGCTTCCCCAGATCCTCCCACAGTTGAGAGCTTCTACTTCCCACTCAAATGAAACCTCTTCTCGTCTCTTGGGTCCTGGGCACTAGCCCAAGTTTATCTCACTAGTTTCCGCACAGCAAGTATATAAGCAAATCTGCTTCACAAAGTGGCATCTATGTTTATTGCAGAAAGACTGAGGAACTACAGGGGAAGATTGGGACAAAATGTTTTCCATTTGGGGCATTGGAGAACCTGATAAAGGGGCACATCAGACCCCATAGGAGAGCAGTCCACTGTAACACCTACAACGAAAGGAATCTGAACACAGCCAGTCCCTTTTTAAGTATCCCACAATGCCATGCAGTTTCATGAGCTGCACATGAGACAGTGTGTGACAAGCCCTGGGTCAGAGCAGCTGGGGCAATGGGAGGGTTTTTGCCACAATAACGTGAAGCCTAAACTATGGGAGGCCAATCCCCGAATTCTGTTCTTCCACGAATCGATTCTCTCCAGGAGGTCAGGTACTGTACTGATTGATTAAAGCGACAAAAACCGCCCTTCAGATAGGTTAAAGATAATCCACAAGCAGTAAGGAGCCAAGGGTGTGTTGGAAGTCACATTTCCGACTCCTGACATGAAAAGCTGGACACGCGGGCAAACTGTTCTTACTGAACAAACAAGATTCAGAGGTCAACGTCCTTCACATCGGGCCCCCACAATCGATATCGATTCCTGAGTCACACAGCTGTCAGCAAGTACTTATGAAAAGCATTCAAATACACACACAATACATATACACACACGGAGTGGGTGTTAATAAACCTAGGTGAAATTGCTCTTTTCTGAGAACGTGGTTGGCTCTGAAAAGAGCCTTTGTGGGGGTTGGAAGAGCGGAGGCAGACTCCTGCACCTCACTTGGCGCTGGTGTACTTGGTGACGGCCTTGGTGCCCTCGGACACGGCGTGCTTGGCCAGCTCGCCGGGCAGCAGCAGGCGCACAGCCGTCTGGATCTCGCGGGACGTGATGGTCGAGCGCTTGTTGTAGTGCGCCAGGCGCGACGCCTCGCCCGCGATGCGCTCGAAGATGTCGTTGACGAACGAGTTCATGATGCCCATGGCCTTGGACGAGATGCCCGTGTCCGGGTGCACCTGCTTCAGCACCTTGTACACGTACACCGAGTAGCTCTCCTTGCGGCTGCGCTTGCGCTTCTTGCCGTCCTTCTTCTGAGCTTTTGTGATGGCTTTTTTGGAGCCTTTCTTCGGGGCAGGAGCGGACTTTGCAGGATCAGGCATGGCGAAGACTGGAAAGAGCCACAAAATCAAAAGACAACGGTTACCACACCGCCTTGCTCCCTTTATTTATAGGCAACTATGCAAATAAGGAGCAAAATGAACGCCTTGCGATTGGTGAATATGCGCATATGACGTCATAACATAGTTGTAGCCAAGCAAACGACGGATTCTACATACACATGTTCCATTGGCCGAAAGAAAAGTAACAAATTAACCAATCACAGAGCTACTTTTTCATGGTCAGTGGAGAATATAAAAGGCCTTACCAGCTAGTATTAGTAGTTATCGACTGTAACAGCTTGCAGTTATGTCCGGACGCGGGAAGCAGGGCGGCAAGGCGCGCGCCAAGGCCAAGACTCGCTCCTCCAGGGCCGGGCTGCAGTTCCCCGTGGGCCGCGTGCACCGGCTGCTGCGCAAGGGCAACTACGCCGAGCGCGTGGGCGCCGGCGCGCCCGTCTACCTGGCGGCCGTGCTCGAGTACCTGACGGCCGAGATCCTCGAGCTGGCGGGCAACGCGGCGCGCGACAACAAGAAGACGCGCATCATCCCGCGACACCTGCAGCTCGCCATCCGCAACGACGAGGAGCTCAACAAGCTGCTGGGCAAGGTCACCATCGCGCAGGGCGGCGTGCTGCCCAACATCCAGGCCGTGCTGCTACCCAAGAAGACCGAGAGCCACCACAAGGCCAAGTGAACACTCGGGCTGGGAAGTAGCCCAAGAACAACGGCTCTTTTCAGAGCCACCCACACAGTCAGAAAAGCAGCACTGTTCTGTGATACAACCAGGGCCTGCTGAATCCCCTTGATGTAAAAAGAGGGTTGCTTTCTGAACCTATTCTGGGGGAATAGGCTAACGTGCAAATAAACTGGAACTTTGGTCACATGGTGCCATGGACCAAGTCACTTGCTAGAAAGGCGGTAGTGTGGCGCACATCTATTAAGGCCTCAATTGTGATTAAAAGTTACTGCGTTTCATGAGCATACTTAGCCCTTAGAAAGCGGTCATTTCTATTGTAGTGTCCCCACTCTCCCAAGAAAGGATGAGTTTGCAAAGTCTGGTCCTTGTACATTTTTTACTTAATTCTGGATTAAGGCACTTTGGAAGTAAATATTTGTCCAAATGTCCATGCAGTGAACCAGGACTCATGTATGTGTCACTGTGTCCCTGAAATGCAACTTGAAATGGGTTTTATCTTACTTCGTGGTGCCAGCTACTTTCTGGTACGCTAGTTTTCTCCGGTCAGAAACCCCTATTTTGTGAGAATTGATTCTATTTGGCAAGTCCATGAATGGCCCGCCCTCCAGGTTAATGCCACATGGCACTATGTCATGAATACAAAGCCAGCAACACTGACGTGTGGACACCTGCCTTTGAAGGCCGCGTGACCCCACGTGGAGAACATAACTCCAAGGGTACCCACCTTCATGTGCTCAGAGATTTTTGTTTTGTGCCATTGAAACCGCTTAAGTTTGCCATCTCCGGAAACTACTAAACTGGCCTGTAGACTATTCTTTTTTTCCTCTTGTTTTGATTTCTAATGCACTTATTCTTTGGGAAAAAACGCTTTCACAATGAGGTGGCATGCATTACAATTCTAAGAAAACCAATAAAAATTGCTAGTGTAAGAGTTACAGAATAAAGCACAATGTAAGAATAAGCAAAAGGCATAGAAAAGTATCAGGGAAGCGTGAATGCTTGTGTCGCATTCGTGAAGGGGTGGTAAAGATTCAGGCAGGCTTGGGCGGTCTCAAAGACCTCAGCTAAGTTGCCAGATGTGGAATGTTGTCAGAGCCAACACGCTCCATGAAAGAAAATTGTGATCACAACCATAAAACTCAGAAGGATGTTGGATACATCTCCAGGAGATGGTGTCCCACCCCTTCAGCAAGTTGATGTAACAGCTGTCAGGTTACCACTCAGAATGAAGCAATGCAGTGGGAACACACCCCAAAACCCCATTCTTCAGCAGTCGATCCCCAAGCCCACCACCACCAGGCGATCCTTGCAGCATTGTTTCTGCCAGAAATGGTGAAATAAAGTGGCCTGGGATAGCAACAGAGGATGGCTCTGGTTCATAGCTTACAATCAGCCCAGCTCTGGCTATTGTGGCCACGTGGGGAGTGAACCAGGACATGGCAGATAACTGTCTCTCCCTCTCTGTAAACCTATCCTTCAAATAAAAGTAAATAATAGAACACAATTAAGTTAAAAAAAAAATTTAATAATAGGAATTTTTCAATCTTTCTAAATTCCAAATTGTACAAATCATATAGGTTCTACATTCCATGAATCTAAAGAGTTAATTGACATGAACAGACTGCATCAGCTGCAGTGGATTTGTGCATGTAACAATACCCATATTCAAAATAAACTCAGTTCTGATAGCCGAGTAACATAAACAGCCAAATGAAACATTGCAGAGGATACAGACCGATTTTTAAAGCTCCATGTGCCTACGTAACTATCCTAAAGTAGGTTAAAACAATAATAAAGCTCCATGTAGCAGCCAACATTCGATGTAGTGTAATATTAAATCATCTCTTAGGATTCCCCAGCTTAACATGCTCGAGTGGGGACCACGGCCCCTCTGATCTGCCTTCCAGCTAAAGTACACCTTTAAGGACCCTTGCCACTCACGTGGGGGACCCCAAAGGGTTCTGGCTCCTGGTTTGGGTCTCTTTTAGCAGGCCTTTGTCAGATGACCCAGTACATACAACTTGTCTGCGCTCCAAAGAAATCCAAGGAAATTCTACATTTACACCTATGGGGGTGACAAATTTAGAGCGTATAGGACTCCCAAACACACCAGTCTGCCAGGGAGTCTGATGGAATGCCTGGACGGTAAGAATGGAAGACAGAACCGATTACACACATGGGAGTCCAGAGTGCATTGGGTTCCCCCATATTCTCCCTAAAGACAATTCTACGCAAAAGTTTTCACTTTAATTTTGCTGAAGACTCATTTCCTACACATGCATTTCCTAGACGCAGGAAGTAAAATTCTGGGCAATATCCAAACTATCCCATTCCATTTAAAGGACTCAGACAAGTAACACTTGGAGAACCAGCATAATGGTCCACAAAACCTCCATTCTAAATCAGACAGGGAACTTAACTGCTGCCAACGCCCGCAAGTAACATTACCTATAACTCAGAAGAGCCTTGCATCGAGAGCTTACTAAGCTGCCCTTGAGACAATTGGCTACTGATCACGCGGCTGAGCACATGTACCTAATTTTTCGGATAGCCGAAGTGGTTAAGTTTAAAACTTCCCGGTTACCCTACACCAAACTGCACTAACAAATGCAAAACCGAAACCCCAGCATTACAGTTCTGCCGAAAACCATTTGAGTGGCTCTGAAAAGAGCCTTTGGGGGAAGCGGTGACAAAGTCGCGGGGCTCAAGCCCTCTCGCCGCGGATGCGGCGCGCCAGCTGGATGTCCTTGGGCATGATGGTCACGCGCTTGGCGTGGATGGCGCACAGGTTCGTGTCCTCGAACAGACCCACCAGGTACGCCTCGCACGCCTCCTGCAGCGCCATCACCGCCGAGCTCTGGAACCGGAGGTCCGTCTTGAAGTCCTGCGCGATCTCGCGCACCAGCCGCTGGAACGGCAGCTTGCGGATCAGCAGCTCCGTCGACTTCTGGTAGCGCCGGATCTCGCGCAGCGCCACCGTGCCGGGCCGGTAGCGGTGCGGCTTCTTGACGCCGCCCGTGGCCGGCGCGCTCTTGCGGGCCGCCTTGGTGGCCAGCTGCTTGCGCGGGGCCTTGCCGCCGGTGGACTTGCGAGCCGTCTGCTTAGTGCGAGCCATTGCTGGAGACTGCAAGCCAGACGATAGCAAGAAAAACCCTGTGAGCTCTTATTTATAGTCAGAGTCGGAAGCTGATTGGACGAAAGTCAGCCCACCCCGCTGTAACCGGATTGGCCTTTTCTGTTATTCTTCAAATCTTCACAAGTTCAGGGCGCCTAAAACCATTTTTTTCTTCTGTTTCTCCGTATTGCTCTCTACATGAGAGTGCTTTCCAGTAGAAATAAATGCAAGTGCTGCATGCTCAGTCAAAAGTTCTAAGGCGCCACAAAGCATAAATCAGGCTTTATGTGTGTTTGCATTATCCAGTGTATCCAGTATATTTAACATGCGCTCAATATGAAGTTTGTTGTTTCAGAGCATATTGATTGTTGGCTTTCCTTTATAGATGTATTATCTCTGAATGCACACGGCCGGACAGACCATTGCAACCTCTGGGCAAGGCGCTCGAGAAGGCCAGTGGCTCTGCGAACCAGCGTGATCGCGGCGAGACCTGGACTTCAGCTGACTGGGCGCTCAGCCTGGGTCTGGACGCCTGGTGGACAATCCTACCGCCCAGAAATGGAGATTCTTGACTCCATTTAAAGACTGCTGCGTCTCCGGGTTCACAGTGCCATCTTTACCGCACTGGGGAAGCCACCATCTGCATAAAGCTGTAGGGACAAAGGAACACAAAAGTTCAAGCGACACGTTCCCTGTAAGGACTTATTCCAATATCCCACCCTGGACCCTGCGCCATTTCTTCTTCCTCACAGCTCACGAAATTCGCGCCAGTCCGGCCATGCACCAATCAGATGTAACCAGGCATTCCACCCGAGAATCCCACCCCCAATCTCCCAGCCCCTTCCCTAACCCCGCCTACTCACCAATCATCCCCAGGCACCAATCCCCTGGGTCCTGCCCTCAAACCCTCCCAATCCCCGCCCCACACACCTGGCAGACAAAAAAGGCCCCCAGGTGTGGCTCTTTTTCTCTACTTTGCTCTTCTCTCTCTTCCTTCTGGCCTCCCCTTCCCCTCTTCCCTTCCCCCTGTTCCTGCCCGGCTGGAATAAACCTCCCAAGATACCTTGTTGCGTCTGGTTTTTTTCAGCTCACGGTAAAGAACCAGGTTGCGGGAATTAGCTGAGCGTAAAATATCGTAATATCGTATGAATATGAACTACAACTCGAATCTTTTTAAATAACTAACATTTCCGAACGGGAGAGGTTAGCGGCCAGGACTCCCTTCGCTATTCCTGGAACCGCACTAACATGGAGTCTGTAATAATTGCGAGAAGCCCAAGAGAGAGAAATTCCATAAAGTGTGAGTACATAAGGACCCAGGCAACGCTGCAATGCGGACACTTCCTGGCTGTGGCAGAAGCGTCCCAGTCGAGGGAACCACCTTTTATTAATGATCATGTCCTGGGACAGGATTAAGATCTGACTCCCTCTGTGGAACTCCTACACTGTACAAAGTGATGTGCCCGACCCGAACTCTGCAGAACTTCCTGGCTTCAACATATTTACAATACTCTACTCACATACTTTTTCCCCCAAAAGAATTAAAATCACTTTTGTGAAAACATAAGCTTTCCTAGTGTGTCTTTTCCAAAGTTAATCATGAAAACTGCTGTTTTTCCCATAAGAATTCACTCAGGAAATTGACTGGCGTGTGCTCAGGACTAAAGGGAGAGGACATTTTGTTTATTCTTTTATTTTTATCTCCTTTTTAAAATTATTTTTATTTTTGATGATTTTTATACATAGTTGGTCTGGGTGATTAGGGTCAAGGGCTAGAGGAAGCTGGGTGAGATCATCATTTCCCACATTCTCTATTTTTCCTTCTTGTATCTTGGGGAAAGGGGGAGACAAGGAGAGAAGCCACACTAAGCCTCCCAAACATGGCTGCACCCTGGGATGGAGGACAGCCACCTGACACCACCACAAAAGTCCCCGATGTGGGGCACGCTCTGAGGGTCCTGCTCATGAGGCTTTGATAGTTCAACAGTTCTGAATTACTGCCGATCTCACCACTCCAAGCACGGTGAAATGTCTCCAGACTCCGCTGGTTGACATAGTCCACATTACAGTCTGTTTGCCCGGTTATTCACTGTCAACATTTGGCTGGGGTAATTGATCAGCTTATTCTGTCCTCCAACCTCTATTATGGTACCAGGTAGCCTCTGTAGACTCCAACATACTGCCATATCCTCCATGTGCATCAAGACATGTTGTCCACTGCTCTAAGCCACTGAGGAGGCCCAACTATGACACATGCACTCGACAAACAGACCATGGCACCTGCAATTCTCTCCATGGTTGGGGTTCAGTTGAGGGAGGTCCCCATAGGAATTTCATTTGAGGTGATCCCACACCTGATTCTTGTGTGTGCTTGCAAGTACAGGGTCCGGTACAGTCCGTCACCCCTAAATTAACTTATCCACACACTGGTAGTCGCAATTGCTGGGTCAGTTCTGTCTTCAGTCCTGTCTTTCACACAAACCATTGGGTGTTGCAGTCCAGCCTGATCCTAACCATCACACTTAGCCTTCACAGACACTAACGGGAGCTACATACAGCCCAGTCAGAGCGACCCACAATAACTACCATCAGGCCTACCTCCTGTCCTGGTTTCCATGCTTGCCAGTATTTACAGCAGATTGGTCCAGTCTGCCCCACATCCCTTTGAGCTCTCATATCAATGGCATTGAAGCCTATTACAACCCAAATAGCCCCACTTTCCAGCCCACACACATGCCAGCAGGTGCCACTTTCTGCCTCATCATGCCTGTCCCAGTCCTGGTTCTCACGCTCACCAGTAAGAGTGGCAACCCAAGAGGGAGTTACCCACTGTTTCCCTCCTGGGCCCACTCCCACTACCCGATCTTGCACTACCCAGGTGGTTCTGCAGTTTAACTTGACAGAATTTGCCCCCATCCCCCTCCCCCATGCCAGCATCTGCCAGCTGATGCTGTGGAAAAGTTCAGCCAACCCACATTCACTCTGACTTATGCACCAGTAAGAACAGTCGACTCAACCTGGATGCTGTAGCCTGGCTGGGCCCAGTTCACTCCCAATTCCAACTCATTCTGGTGGGGGCTGCAGCCTAGCCCAGTCCAGCCACCCCCACCACCCCGTCCTGGCCTTCATATGAATTGGTTTGTGTTGTGGCCCAAGCGGCCCAACCCACACTCCATTCTAGTGCTTGAATTCTCCAGCAAGTGATATGAACTGGCCCAGCCTGGTTCACCCCTGACCTGCACCAAATGTAGACCGGAGGATACCATTACCTGGCCTGGTCCAGGATGCTCCCTACAATGACAGATCTTGCACACACCAGTGGGTCCATGGGCCAGCCCTACTTACTCCACCTCCTGTCCTAGCAGGAAGAGTGGCCTTTCCTCACCAGACTTCACCCATCCTGGTTTTTATTGTTGGGTGTTACAGCGCAGCCAAGCCTGGTCCACACCCACACCCAGCACACATATGGCTCAGCAGGGGCAGAGATCTAGCCTATCCCATCCTGGTTCTCACAAGCACCAGTGGGTGCTGGAGTCTGGTTCACTCTGCAACACCCCAGATCCAGTCCTTATCTATGCCAAGGAACACTGCAACCATATCCAGACCAGACTGCTGCCCCTACTCTGGCCCTCACACTCACCAGTAGGATCCACAACCCAACCAGGCCATCGCCTTAGTTCCCCAACAAAGCCTGCTCCCAGCCACGGATTTCACGCATGCCAGCGGTTGCTCTGACCCAACTTAGCATAGCCCCTCACCTGTCTTGGCCTTTGACTTTAGTGCTGTATTCTGACCTGACCCAACCTGCCTCTAGTCCCAATTCTTGCAGTGGGTGCTGGAACCTTGCCCTTTTCAGTCTGCTCCCATCCCTGACTCATGCAAACCAATAGGTGTGACAACCAAACCCAGCATGACCTGTGCTCCATCCTGGTTTCTGCACTTGCCAGTAAACTAAGGCTTGCTTGGCCCTGCTCAGTCCACCCTCTTCCAAAACCAGCCCACACATTAGCCATCAGTTGGAGTTGCTTTGCTCAGACTGCCCAACTCCTGAACCAAGTGCTCACCAGCCGGAGCTATGACCCCCTAAGGGAGTTTCCTAACTCCCCCACTCCCACTGCCAGTGGGTGCTAGCCCTTGCCTGGTACAGCCTGCAAGAACATTTTAAACCCTTAGTGGCTTTCCCATCAGTATCTAGTGTTTCTTAGCCAAATGCTATTGGATTTTAATAAAAAAAAAAATTTTTTTTTGAAAGTCAGCTATACAGAGAGTAGGAGAGACAAACAGGAAGATCTCCCATCCATTGATTCACTGCCCAAAAGGCAACAATGGCCAGTGCTGCGCCAATCTGAAGCCAGAAAACTGAAATCTCTTCCAGGTCTCCAACGTGGTGCAGGGTCCCAAAGCTTTGGGCTGTCCTCCACTGCTTTCCCAAGCCACAAGCAAGGAGCTGGATGGGAAGCAGGGCAGCCGAGGTTAGAACGAGCACCCATACAGGAATCCCAGCACGTGCAAGGTGAGGACTTCGGCCGCTAGGGCACGGCACTGGACCCATGTTGTTGGATTCTTTTTTCATTAAGCCCAAATACAAACCAACATACATATTCAGTTTCAAATCTTAAAATGTAGAGATATATTTTAAAAACATTTGACATAGCTTTGTGCTTTTATTTGGATATATTACTTAGATTTAAAGTAAAGCATTTGATTTATGTTCTAAAGAAAATCAAGGGCCTGGCACAATGACTCTATGGCTAAAGCCTCATGCTTCATGCGCCAGGATTCCGTGTGGACTCCAATTTGGGAAGCTGCTTTGCTTCCCATCCAGCTCCCTGCTTGTGACCTGGGAAAGGAAGGCCCAAAATTTTGGGACCCTGCAACCATGTGGGAGGCCCGGAAGAGGCTCCAGGATTCCTGGCTTTGGATCGGCTCAGCTCCAACCATTAAGGCCATTTGGGGAGAGAATTAGTAGAAAGAAGATCTTTCTGTCTTTCCACTCTGTCTGACTGTCC